GCATATTTGCCTTGGAGATGGCTACACAGCTTGGCGTTTATTTTGGCTTACACTTTCCTGTGTTGTAATGGTAACTGCCAAGCAGCATAATTAGCAGTTGTCATACTTCTGTTGGTAAAGATCCTTCCCACAAAAACAGAGCAGTGATGCTTTGTACCCTTTTCCCAACTGTACCCCAGAGCACATGTCCCAGACATCCACCCCAGCATCTCAGACCCCAACAGGTTTCAGCAATTAAGCCATAGGAATAGTTTTGTTAATGGGAAAGAAAAAGTTGTACTCGTCCTAGTAGTTTAAGTCTGATAAGCAACACCTTAAAAAAAATTAATCATACTGTAGTCTGTATCATAGAATCACAGACTTATTTGAAAGGGACCAATGTTGTCTCTGAACAGCACATCCCTTTTGCCTTTCAATCTGAAGTTAAATTTAGCCTGAAATTGCTTAAGAAGGGGGCTGCAAATAATTTCAACTGTGATACCAGCTGCTAAAGTCTGTATTTAGTTATGTTTTTTATTAATCACATTTATATTTATAGCACATGCAACAAAAATGAGACTTGTGTAGGGTGCTGTACAGAAATACAACAAAGTGCAATGAAAGTCCTCACACAAATCATACACCATGCTGTGCCCAAAGTGGTACGTTGTGCAGGTGTTTGGGGCTCAACTCTGACACTGATTCTCCATTAGTAAATCTGCAGTGCTATTCAAGGAGCTCATGGAATTAACCTAGATTGAGCCAGCGAAGGACCAGTCTTTGTCCCCTCAGCACTACATTGCTCTAAAGTTCTGCTGTTATTATTACTTACCCAGCAATAGACATCAAAATGTGCAGAAGGAAAAGAAAAAAAGAAATCTTTCACTGCTCTCACCTGAAGCCAAAACCCTTTACTCGTCCACCTTGTTTCCACTTGGATCTGGCCAGAGTGGCCCTGTCTAGCTGCTAGGCAACCCGAGCACTGCATTTAGTGGGAACTGTATGTGTTTGCTAAGGATGTAATAATGCTGCCTTTGAGATTTACTCATAATAAAAAAATGAATATCTGAAATTGTAACAGCTTTCCTTTCTGATCACTAACTAGCAGCTCTGGGAAAACAAAACTGGTGGTCAAGAACAAAAGTAGCCACATGTACAGCACACATAAAGAGAGGGATAATAAAGCAGCTCCCAAATATATAGTTAGGGAGATGTTTTATGTGGAACTATTATTACAGCTGGCAGTGCTGTAAAAAGTGTCTAATCCTAGAACTATATTTATACAGATATTAGAATATCTACATAATATTAATATATTTACATAAATAATATTTTAATTTAGAAAGGATAATTACCGAACCTCATCCGGCTACAATATGAACTTCCCCAGTAAAGGTCTTTTATGCAATTTACATCAAATCACCACTCCAAAGCAAGACATGAAAGACCTGAAACTAAAACACAATCAAGTGGTCTGACAATTCCCTTTTAAAGAAAAAAAAGGAACAAAATTATCCTAAATAATCCCTCTCAGGAGCATTTTACTGTTTGGTTCTCTGGCAGCAGAGTTATCACACCACAAATATTTTTGATGGGTCCCATTCCTCCCAGTCCCCAACTCAAAAGAAAGAGAGTTTCCTTTCAAGTCTGTTCAAACAAACGGGCCATCTCCCAGAGCACTCAGTCAGTAGCACAACTGGTAAGAAGCCTTATTAAAATATCAGTTTGAGTAATTGAGAAGTTAACATCAACAAAGTGAAAGACCCAGTAATTATGTTAAAATTAAACAGGGCAGTTCTCATCTTTGATCATTATACCTGACAGGTTGGCACTTCAAGCACTACAAGGTTTCCCTACCTGTAAGAAAACCCAGGGATCTCCAAGTAGCTGGGCCCTGCACCCAAACATCCTGCTTTTCTGACCAACACAGGCAAAAGTCAGTGCAGTAAGTCCCAAAAATCACTGATCATTCTGGATTGTGGAGCAGGACAGACATGGGAACTTCCCCCAGCCTTGAGATTTACATGACATAAAACAAGCCTTGCTTGTGCAAAGCCCCCTGAGCATGTAGCAGCTGCATCTACTTCCCAGAGACCTGCAGGCTGCCATGGACTGAGAGGTGGCTGCTCAGAGCAGTGATCCTAAAAGTGCTCCTCTCTGGTTTTATGCAGAAATTTGGAATGGTTCCTTTAAAGACCTGCACCTTCTCTTTCCTTTCTTAGTTTCAGATTAAATCTGATTCAGTTAAGTCTTACCAATGTTAAGAAGCCAACATATCTGGAAAGTTACAAGTAAAATAAAGCACTAGAAGGAATTACACACACAGAAACTCAATAGCAGCTGTAAATCATTTTAAAAAGTAAATCAGCGGACAGGTTGGTAGAAAGATTCCTCATTCCTACACGTAGGAACGTAGTTTTGGTATGCCACTGGCTCCACAGTACTACATGCAACCAGAAGAATACACTGAAATTACAATTAGGACAGAAAGGGAGTAAATAAGTTCCAATAATGTTTTTCATGGGGTTGTTTTTTGTTTTTTTTTTCCTTGAGCAGTAAACACAAAGTAAAGGACAAAGTTTGGTCCTTAAACCAAACCTCACATCAGGGATCCACACAAGGAACACAGAAATAGAGAAGAGCACAAGTCAGTCTGGAAACTATCAAGCACTTACCTGAACCTTTTACTGAAAATAAATTTTAAATCAACAGTGTTGCTGGTTAACTCCAGTATCCCAGGTTCTACAGCTTGCACCCACAAGGGAATCAGTCTGGCATATCTTTAATAACCTTAAATTTAAGAAAAGTCTTGTTTTCCTGAAATCTTCAAACGTTTACTTAAAATTAGTGCTTAAATCACTTTAATCACAGTATCTTTGCAAAAAAAACCAAAAAACAAAAAAAAACATAAGTCTTTCATAATGCTTTCTGTCTTGCTTTTAAACAATTTATTAGAGAATTTCATGTTCTGAGATCAAGAAAAAAAAATCAAACACAGAATGGATGATTCTTCAATTGCTCAGTGGGCTTCAGCTCCAAACATTCTCATCACCCAGACTCATGACAAAAATCAAGCAGATCCACGCCAGGTTATCTACATTCGTTTCAGTACCAGAATTTAGCAACATAGTCAGGATCCTTCATTATATAATTTGCTGTACCTTGTACCCAGTGTAGGAATCAAATGTTGTTTTTGCATCAGAGTTGGATAATCTTTTTTTCTTTCATGGTCTCCGCTGTCACATTTCTTTTTGGGAGTCTTTCTACTTTACTTGGGAGGGGGGTCTCTGACAGTTTACATCACTTACCCTCTAGACGAACCTTCCCTAGGAATGCACGCTCAGTATATAAGAGCATACATGTATATTTTATCACACTGCGAGAATATCCTGCACGAGATTGATCAAACCAGAGAACAGGTCATGCCATGCCCAAGGAAGCGCTTGAAGAGACGTCGGGAAGGCCTGGCATCACCCCGCCCCTCTTTGTTTAACGAAGGCTTTGAAGAAAATCACCATATCAATACAAGAAGAGCACCGAGACATCTTGGAAACAACAGGATGGCTTCTGACTGACACTAGGTAACACACCAATTAACAAATGTAAACTTTGATAAGATTGCGAACCTGGAGTACCCAGCCAATGGGGAAACTAGGGAAGGGGACAGGCAAAGGGGGAAACAAGGTACAAAAGCTGTCATTGTGTCCTTAGGGGTGCTCCTGCTTGTGGGACATCCGCCATTGCAATCGCGAATAAAATCTGCTTTTATCAGAGATACCGTCCTGACAAAAGTTATTTGGATATTTCCAACACCCAGCAGCACATAAAATGAATCATACCGTTGCAGTAAACAATAATAGATTTCAGCAGTTTCCATTCTCACTCTGGATTCAAAATAGTCACCATGAAAAGGGTGGTTTAGATGCAGTAAGAAGAGATCAAATATAAATCAAGCTTCACAGTTCAATTAGAAGACTGACCTTAGCTGGCTGTGATAGGGCTTTGATAGAAATGCTGTGCAGTTTCAACTAATCTTCAGTTCTGACCTTTAAGCTTAAACTTGTGGGAGAAACCACAAAACAGCTGTTTCACATTGGTGAGCTAGCTCTGGGAAATCATTTGAAAGAAAGGTAGCCTGATATCTTATTTCAGATATTTTCTTTTTACACAAAATAGAAGAGTCTTGCTAACTGGAACTGCAGCTGGAGCTCCATAGGACCCTGAAATAGGTCAATGCAAGCGTGGGTTTTTTTTAAACACACTCTAATTCATTGGGACACAGAGAGTTAAGGACTGTCAGGACAAACACTATGGTACAAATGCAATTGAAGTCATTTGCAACTCTATAGAATGAAAGAACACACATGCTTTCCAAGAAAGGGAATGTAGTGAGCTATTGACACAGTTGTTCGGCCTTGATCCTCCACTCTGAAACTCTGAAGCCCAGGAACGTTTATTTTTTTAAAAACTGGGCCAGAAGGCTGTCATTCAAGTCAGGCAAGGAGCCATGAGCAGAAGGGCCCTCCGGCTCACCTGCACAAACTCTCTTCTCAGTTGATTCACCAAGAAGCCATTTCTGTCAAGGCGGTCTGAAGCACACCTCTGCAGGCAGGAAGGTCCCAGTGCCTTATTCAAAGGGTGTTAAGTGACAGCAGAAGCACTGCCTAGAGATTGCTCACTCAGAGCTCACTGAATTTTTTTTTTTTACCTACAAGTGGTCACTCAAAAGGTTCTATGAAAAGGCTAATTATTTGCTCTGGGTTTTGCTTCAGTTTAATAATACAGTGAGCCCTGACACTGAAGAGCATCAGCTTAAGACCAAAATCAAGAATCCTATCAGTCAACTGAAGCAGCAATACAAAGAGAACTTACATAGAGAAAGCTATGCTACAGGAATTTAAAAAAAAAAAAGATAGCCAGACAAAACATATGAACAACAAAATCTAACCTCCAAGCAAGCTAGTTTTGTCATCTCTTTGCTGGGTTTAGTATAAAATACTGTTGAAAATGCTGGCACTTACCCAAATCTGCAGTTTCACCCGCTTGTCATTCCTATATACTGTTTTCACTTTGAAGTCAATTCCTACTGTGCTGACGAAGGCTGGTGTGAAAGTGTCATCGGCGTATCTGAAGAGGAAGGATGTTTTACCCACACTGCTGTTGCCAATGATCAGGAGTTTGAACATGTAATCAAAATTCTGATCTGAAGTATCTTTCTGCCTGTATCTGGCATCTGTTACTGAAGCCATCTGAAAAAAAAAAAAAAAAGGACAAACATTGTAAAAGGACAGGACTTGTTTTCTTTAATTGCATACCATATGTTTAGCTTATCTCTCTTCTTTCTAATGGCTTAAGCACTACATCTACTAAAGAAAAAGCAACATACCTTGAAAACTTCTTTTAAATAATGCCTGTAAATTTCTACTATCCACTCGTAGTTCTAAGATCTCCAGACCCAAGAAATACACCTGTTGCACTGCTCTGTATATAGGAGACTAACAGATGGCTACTGCAGACTGTTCAGATAGTACTGGGGAAACAGCACTCTTTACTCCAGTGGCAGTTTGCCATCTCTGCTGCTCCCATAAATAAGTAGTGGAACAAGAACTGAAATTTTGCATCCAGCTATGCTGTTTGTGAAGCAGCCACTGAGGCAGGTGAAACTAAATAATTCTTGTTAAGACTGCTAGGGAAAATCTGCACTATTAGCTCATGCACACCATCATTTTTATGAAAGTTCTACCCTACATATTTACAGATTAAAATATATATAAAACTTTGGCAACAGGAGAAGATGAAACATCAGTTGACAAAAGAAATTTTAGCTAACAGCTTCAGATCCATCCAACAGCTACCTACTCCCAAGACAGCAATTAAACAGAACATGATAAAATGCCGCAGGCAGTATTTCTAAAGGTAGATGATCCCTTTAGATCAGCTAAAGGGAGCAGAGAGTTGGGGGACATGAGTGAATGCAGAAGAAAGATGCAGCCTGAGATTCCTCATCCTCTTGTGATCCTAAACTGGATTCAGAAACCAAAAAGTAATTGCAGTCTGAAACTTCAACACAGCCTCAGTTCACCAAGCAACCCTGGGCTTCTCTATAGTTTCACAGCTCCAACACTCAGCGGAAGACAAACCCCTGCCTTTTCACCTCTACCAGAGGTGACAGAGATACTACAGAGAGAAGAGGAAATTTCACCCTGCAACATGTCACAGTCTTGATCATCAATGCTGTTTCAAAATCTATCCAGTGTCAAGCAGGTGAAGCTTTGGTTTCTTATAAGCAGTTGGGGCTTCCTGCAAACAGCAGCAGCAGCTCAGATCTGATAAGCAGCTGCTTGTCCACTTTCTTATCAAATCTCACTCACACAGTGGATTTCACTTGCTGAAAAAAGTGTTTAATTTCCTCTGTATTTAAAAAGCCTTAAACCCAAAACACTGTCCAAAAGCCAGGTTAAGCTAACATCCCAATTTAAATTAAGTTCCCAGCAGAGGGGAAACAAATTGTTGTGCACATTTTATTTAAGTTTAAACTGAGTTAGTTTTACTTTGTCTCTGATTACACACCTGCAACATTCCCACACAGAAAGGGTCACACAGACCTTTCACAGGTTGTGTTTGTGAGGACAGCTCTGAAGAGCTCCAGCAGCAGCTTGATACCCAACAGCTGCACTGCATGCAGTCACATCTTCCCACAAGCAGTTCTCTGCAGGATACAATCCAGCCCTGATATGCACAGTTCTTCAGCTGCTAGTCAGTGCTTTGCAAATGCTCCAAAACAACCCAAGTACAAATTTTCTTCTCACCAGCGCATCAGAAAAGCACTCCTCTATTCATCTCCTGTAGTTCCTAACACATCTCAGCATCCAGTTGACACACACACTCAGATGCACACATTCACTGCCTCAGTTAAAATCTTAGAAATCTCAGCTGCAGAAATTAGGAATCCAGATTAGTTGATTTGTGCCATCACTGAGCTGGAGAACAGTGCAAAGTTCTCTGAATAGCTTCTTTTCCTCATACAGAGATATAATTTCACAAGTGCCACTGACAACACACCTGCACTTGATAACAAGAAAAAAAATAAAAATCTCCACTCCTCCATTTCAAGTCTCCATGAGAGGAAAAGTGAGATGCCTTCATTACTAAAAGCCTGGGCAATTTAAAGATTTAGATGCAGACAGTTTTTCACTCATCAGTGTCTTCTTCCTATCACCACTTTTATGGAAACCACCTGCAAACTCCAAGTCATTCTTTTAAATGGCAAACTCTGCTTCCATTACCCCCCTAGACTGCTCTGATCAAAAGCATACCTGGCTACAAATGCCACTCTCCAATCCCAGTTAAAAAAGCAATTGCAGAACGCGACCAGCTGGAGCAGCTTTGTTAGAGGCACAATGCAGAAAATAAGATCAGAGGATACTTGCAGAGGACGCAGCACAGTTGTCATAGAAGCACACCTCTTGCTGCCTGGCACTGGTGGCTGGGCTGTGTGAGAGATGCTGCAGGTTCTGTAACATCACAGGCAGTGCTGGAACACAAACATTTCAAAGAGAACCCCGCCTCCTTGCTTGAATTTGACTTTTCCTTCCTTCTCCTCCTCCTCTGATCACTGAAGTGAAACTGGAAGGACAGCAGTACTAATTCCTGATACCACATCATTACTGAAGCTGCACTCAACAAACATTTGAGCTGAAAGCCTTCAGAGGGCTTCCCCAGAACTTGTGCTCAAATCCTCAAGACAAGTCTCCCAGTTTCTTTCTCCTAATCCTCATCCCCACCTTCCTCTTACTCTCTTGTTACTTCAGGCTTTCCCTGGTCAGGACACCACAATGAACTGATTCAGAGAATAGGCAGATCCCAGCTGAAAATAATTCCTCCTTTATTTCTCCTGTTCTGCTGGGCTGCTTCTGAAGTCGGTTCAGCTCCTGATGCAGCACAACTGGGAGAGCCAAGCAGAGGGCACTGAGCAGTGAGATGGCAGTCACTAAGCCACTGAGAGGAAGATCACTGAATCATTACGGTGCTAAAAGACCTCTAAGGTCACCCAGTCCAACCCCTACCCAGCCCCCAAGCCCACTGACTGTGTCTCTCAGTGCCACGTTGCCCCACTTGTGGAACAACTCCAGGAACAGTGACCCCAACACCTCATGGGGCAGTCTGTACCACTGCATTACCACTCTTGCTGAGAAGGAATTTTTCCTAATATCCAACCTGAATAAACCTCTCCTAGTGCAATTTAAGGCATCTCAGCCTCAAACTGATACAACAAAATCTTAATCAGAGCTTATTAGCCACCAAAGAACACCGTTCTCAGTCACTGTCTCTCCTGCCTTTATTTCCCCTTTGTTCTAATGCAGTTTACAAAAAGAAGCCTATGGCCCTGATACACCTCGATGGGAAAGCAGCCCTCATGGCTTTTTATGGTCACTGACACAGGTCAGAGAGGTGGCTCCACACAGATCTGCTCTTTAATTTGCAGCTAACCTTGTGGTGAAAACCTAGAGGTTTTGTAGAACAACACAAGCCATCAAAATGATGCTGCTCTGACAAATCCCTAACAGTGATTACTGCTGCCCTGATTCTGCAGTATTTACGGTCTGTAGAGAACTACAGTGAAAGGCAGTATGTGACCAGTCCAAAGTTGATGTTGTTGCTCAGAAATCAACTGATATATCTCGTCATGAATTTATTTACAGGAGGGAAAAAAAAAGTTGACCTTGGGTGTTTCCAGTCCATATCATTTTGGCTTCAAACTCCTTGAGAGCACTTCTTCTGTATCTGCTTACAGACCAGAAACAATACATCTGATCACTGTTTTGGAAGTAAAGGTGTCTGTGTATCAGCCACCACGCATACCTGCTCACAGACAAGGCTTTTTCCATCTCCCACTCTCTCACAACACCATGAGGAAGGAGTCTGACCTGCCTTTGGGAGGGTCTCCTTGCCTGCCCTCAGCCACCTCACTTAACAACAAAATAGGCTCACACCGATGGCACTTAAAACTACAGAGAAAGAAATATCTGAAATATTATAATATCTGAAATCAATCTATATGCACTCTCTATATTACACATGCTGTGCAATTCTGACAGCCGCAACGTCTTTTAATATTTGTCACTGCTTTATGTCTAAAGCCCAAACTGACATTTACCACAAATGCTTTGTGTTATATACCAGTGGCAGTTTAAAAATGATTGCTTAACTGTTTTGTCATCATCAAATCACCCTTTTTCAGAGACACAACCTCCTTTTTCTTACTTCCATCTTACTGCTTCTGCACTCAGGATCAGCCAACAAAGAACAGAAAAAAAGGCAGTATATCATTTAAAAGGACTGAGCAGTAACAGCGTGGAACAAGAGGAGAAGCACAGTCGCAAGCACAGCTGTACCTGTTTGACTCCTGGCTATCCACAGTCACTGACACATGTGGAAGGAAGAGAAAAAGATCACCAAATACACTCACTTAAGAGCAGAAATAGTGAGGCTAAATAAAGGTAGAGGCGGAAAAAAGAATTATATAGTACTGAAGTCAACACTCTGTTGACTACAGACAAATAACTCAGCATTCTGCCAAGGCTCACAGGAATGCGGTCAGGAGCTCTAAGAATGACACAAATGATGACAGAAACCATGTACATGGTAGGGAAGAAACAAAAAAGCACCTAAACCAGAAGACTCCTTCACCCCTTCTGTTCAGAACTGAGCAGCAATCCACAAGAGACATTACTCACATGCAGCATAAATTCTTTTCAATAGACTTAATAATTTGTTTTTTTTTTTCCAAGAAAGTATTAAGAAGTATGTCTACATTGAAAATATTCCAGATCACAAGTTACACATGTAAGTCAATTCTCTGTTATAAAAATCCGTTCCTTTCTGTGCTCTATTGTCTGAAAAAATAAAGGTTTTTTTTTTTTTTTTTCCCATTTCAGGACTTAAACTAAATTCTGAATTAGGTCTCTATCTACTAATGGAATTTTACAGCCAATACATGCTGTCCTAAGACAAAAGCTCATAAAGAAAATAAGGCCGTGACCTTAAGGTCTTATATGCTAGGACTACAAGGGAGATTTATCAGAAGCAGAAAACACACTATGAGCAATTAACAAAACTTCTAATAAGTATGGCAAGCAAGCGATAGTTACCAATTTAGATCTATAATCCATGAGACAAATGGAGGCTTTGCTGTGAGTTATATGAATCAAGAGTGGTCACTGGATAACAAGAGTATTACGTAAGACACTAATGAGTAGATAGGTTAGACTGCAAACACACTGCTGTATAAAGGTCTGAACTTCCTTCACTGGAAGTAGAAGGGAAAGCCCTGCAGCACACAAAGCAAAGAGAAACGGTGTTTGAGTTAGTAACAGATACTGAGATAACAGTAGATAACTGAAGCTATCTATACATTTTAAACAAAATTTATTAAAGCAAAGTCATCTAGGTTAATCTAAAATTTAATTTCTTGAGATGATCTAGAAGTGAATGCAAAACCTCGGACAGGAATTGTTTCACTCTACTTCCCTGTTTGAAGGAAATGGAGCCCTGGGGCACCTGAAATGCACCTGCATGTACTGTTCTGCACACAGCCTGGGTCAAAGTCTACTGAGTGACAATTACAACTGGACATGTAAATGCAGCCCCCTTACAGCACATCTATGTAACAATACCTGCCTTAAAATTGTTACTCCAGATTTAGACCAGAAAAGCATTACGGAATTCAGTCCTCTTTCTCACACTCTGTGTGTGAGTCTGTAGCTGCCTCTGTCTCTCACCTCAGCACTGTCAGTGGTTGCAAGGAACCTTTTTTTTGAAGCATCATCCAAACAACTGAATTGCTAGATCTAGAATAAAAATAAGTCAAAAGTATAAACAGAAAGAAAATATTTTTTTCTTACTTACAGCAAAAACTAAAACTGATTATTTAACTGATTATTTTAACTGATTTATTACTGAGTCCAGTAATCTTCACAATTAGATTTTTTGTAGTGGATTTAGTCTGAAATTTGCACACAGTGATGAAGTTGCATATATAATATGCATGACAACTAAAGAAGAATAACCTTTACGCAAGGCAGTCTGCTTATTACTACCTGTTTAGATTTGAGCTTTAAAAAGTCTGTTAAGAATTTGCAGGATGTGGAACAAAACTCAAGAACCTGAGGCTCTTGTCCATGTCCCATCAGCTCTCTGCATTCACAATTACAGTGTGCAGGGCAGGAGGCCTTTGTCAGACGGATTTCCTCGAGGCATGTGTTTCTCCATGTCTGGAACCATGCCTCTCCCATTTCCTGCCCAATATCCTCAATTTCAGGGTCAGGACAAAACTCTCAGGAAGAAGAAATGTTACTTTAGTTTTACAATAGCAAAAATGTAAGGAAATAGAAGTTCCCATGTTGTTTACTTTCCAGATTTACAGTTCTCCTTTGATTTCACCTGGGATAATCTGCTAATCATGAAATACCTTTGAGTATTTCTCTACTGAATATACCAAGGCTGCACAATGAACTAAAACCACAGCAACACATGAAGCAGATGCACAGCATCTCTGTTCCAGGACGCGTAGCATTCACTGCTGGTCTTTCTGCAGGGGGAGGGCTGGGAGCAGGGTAGTGCTGCATGGGACCACAGCTCCCTGCAGGAAGCTATGACCTAGCTTCCAACTGTGCTGTTAATAAGGCAAGCTTGGCTACTTGGGATTCATAGGACTTGGAGCTACTGTCTAACCATAACCAGGCTCAGCACGCAAGAAATATTTATCAATCTTTGAATATCACCAGGTCTAAAATCTTTCACCTTTGTGTAAAAGCAAGCTGCTGTCCTGAGTAAACCAGGTGAGTGGAGACTGGTTTTGTCTTACAGGAACCACCTACAAGCCAGAATCACGAGATGGAACCAGTGCTCTGCAGTGCCGGTGAAGTTTGTTCTGCTGTCTTCTGTCTTTACATCTGCAGCAGAGCATTTGCCATGAATGAGTGAGTTACTTTGCTTTTTGTGCTCTGATGCCCACTATACTGTGATACAGGAGGGTTGCTAAGTGGATTTACAGGTGCCTCTATACTTACTAGGTTTTAATTAACTAGCACTCCCAAGCATATAAGCCTGACAGTCAGTGTCAAAGACAAAAGAATACCAAGGACACAGAAATCAAAACACACATTCATCAAAGCTCATTCAGCACTGCAGAACTTCCCGGGGAACTACAGGCCAGTGAGCTTCACCTCTGTGCCTAGGAAGATCATGGTGCAGATCCTCCTAGAAGCTATGTTAAGGCACATATGAGATAAGGAGGTGATTCCAGACAGTCAGCATGGCTTCACCAAGGGCAGATCGTGCCTGACCAATCTGGTAGCCTCCTATGGTGGAGTGACAGTTTCGATGGACAGGGGAAAGGCGATGGATGTCATCTACCTGGACTTCTGCAAGGTCTTTGACATGGTCCATCACCACATCCTTCTCTCTAAATTGGAGAGGTGTGGATTTGAAGGATGGACTGTTTGATGGATTAGGAATTGGCTGGCTGGACACAGCCAAAGGGTTGTGCTCAGTGGTTCTGTGTCAGGGTGGAGGTCAGTCACAAACGGGGTCTCCCAGGGTTTGGTTTTGGGAGCGGTGCTCTTCAGCATCTTCATCAGCGACATAGACAATGGCATCGAGTGCAACCTCAGCAAGTCTGCAGATGACACCAAGCTGGGTGGTGCAGTCAATACATTGGAAGGAAGGGAAGCCATCCAGAGGGACCTGGACAGGCTGGAGAAGTGGGCCTATGAAAACCTAATGAGGTTCAATAAGGCCAAGTGCAGGGTCGGGGCAATACCAGCTATTTATACAAAGTCGGGGAAGATCTCCTTGAGAGCAACCCTGTGGAGAAGGACTTGGGGGTCCTGGTAGATGAAAAGCTGGACACGAGCCAGCAGTGTGCGCTTGCAGCCTGGAAGGCAACTGTGTTCTGGGCTGCATTAAAAAAGGGGTGGCCAGCAGGGACAGGGAGGTGATTGTCCCCCTCTACTGGGCTCTTGTCAGGCCCCATCTGCACTACTGCATCCAGGCCTGGGGCCCCCAGTACAGGAAGGACGTGGAGCTCTTGGAGCAGGTCCAGAGGAGGGCTACTAAGATGATCAGAGAGCTGGAGCACCTCTCCTATGAAGAAAGGTTGAGAGAACTGGGCTTGTTTAGCTTGGAAAAGAGAGGGCTCTGGGGAGACCACACTGCGGCCTTCCAGTACTTG